TTTTTTTTTTAAGATTTATTGATTTCTTTTAAAAAATGAACCTTTTATAGAAGCAGTATATGTACATTACAGAAAACTGGAAAATAGAACAGGCACAAATGAAATTTCACCTTCCCACCAGATAGAGGTCACCACTGTTAACACCTTAATGTATACCTTTCTAAGTGTTTTTCTGCACATTTATAAATAATTTTTTAACCAAATGACATCATAGTATATATCCTGTCTTCAGCCTGCTTTCTTCAATCAATAGTCCTCACCTTTCTATTTCAGTAGATTTTGACCTTGAATATTCAGACTTCTTACATTGATCCCAATAGGTCCTTTATAGCTGGTTTGTTCAAGCCCATACTCAGTCCCAATCCATGAATTGCATCTGGCTGTGAGGTCATAAGGTCTCTTTTCATGCAGCACAGTCCCTTTTTTTATGACCATGATTTGTGGAAGAGACCAGACCGTTTGTTTTACAGAATGTCTTGTTTTCTGGATTTGCCTGGTTGCTTTTTCATGGTGTTATTTAGCCTATTCCTCTATTCACTTTATTTCCTACAACACTGGAAGTTATATCTGAAGGCTTGATGGTAAATGTTTTGAATAGAGCACTGTATATTATAGGTCAGGTTTCAACCAACTATGGTCTATAGGTAAAATGCAGCCTGCCACCTGTTTTTGTACCACCCATGAGCTAAGAATGGTTTTTACCTTTTTAAACAGTTGCAGGTGGAGAGCATCAAAAGAAGGATAATTTCATGACACATGAAAGTTATATGAAACTCGAATTTCAATGTCCATAAATGAAGTTTTATTAGAATGCTCATTTGTTTACATTTTGGCTGTGGCCGCATTAGCACCACGATGGTGGAGTTGAGAGATTGCAACATAGACCATTTGGTTTACAAAGCCTAAAATATTTGACATCTGGCCCTTTATAGAAAAAATTGCCAGCCTCTGTCATAGGTGATGTTGTGCACCTGTTTTGAATCAAACCAGAAGACACATAGTGTGATCCCTCCCTTGAACTCTTGTGGCCTCCCTTGAGACAGAAAGTTCTGTGAGTGGTATTGTTTTTGCACTCTATGGAGGTCCAGTTCCTCATCCACCTTTCACCTAATGGTTTTATCATTGATTTGTAATTCTCACCTAAATCACTAATTTCATTAGGAGTTTCAGAATTTCAGTTTTGTCCTGTCCTTGTGTTCACATCTATCAGCTGGCATTCTGCTCAAAGTGGAACTTCCCTCAGCACCTGGCACTATTTAAGTT